AGTGAAGCCCAGTTTTATGGCTTTGAGGTCATCACCTTTGGTCTGTCCACCAGTTCTGGCTTTATCAGCAGGAGGTTGCATTGCTAGGAGCCAACTCTTCTTGGGTTTCCAGGGGTATTTGGCATGTTGAGTTTGGCATTAGGAGGTGTAGATCATAGTTGATTAGATAGAGAGTGCTATGAATGACTCATCATGGTTGAATGAGAGGGGTTGCCAGCATTGATTGGATGTTGAACCTTAATCAATAAGATGGCAACATCTCTGTTGGGTCCTCTGGATGGATTTCATTATATATATATATAGCCTATTCTATAGCATAATACTGTAAAATATCAATTTGTTCTTGATCATCTGTAGCTAAATACCTTCTTTTCAGAGGGATGAGCCTCTACTCAACATTCTGAGGAATCTCAGCTAACTGCTCCCTATATAGTCAGTTAAATTCTTTAATTTTCTCCTTGTGGATGGTCTTCTGAAGCCAATCCTCACTCATGACTTTCTTTACCCCTTTGAGGAAGGCAACAGGCTGGTCATAGATGGATGATGGATCTGATTTCACTGTTATCAGAGAGTAATCCTTGGTTGCTAGATCTAGGCTCACTGATATCAGAGATTCAACTGGGTCCAGCTGCAACAGGAGAGATGATCCAACATTGGAGAAGTCAGGGATCAGATTCTCTCTCACTTGAGCTGCTTCCTTCTCTGTATTCTGCCAGTTTTTGACAATATTGGTGGAACTGCTGAATGAAGTTATCATTGAGAAATAATCCAGCAACTGGATCTCAGAGAAATCATCAGAGGATGGAGTCACCAATAGTAACCAGATCAGATTGTCAGATTCCATAGATGGATAAGGGAGTGTCAGAGATTTAAAGAAGGGATATGTCAGTGAGACTGAGACTAGGCTCAGATCCATGCCAGCTGGACTCTTAGTAGGAGGATCAGAGAGATGTCCTATAGTGGCTGAGGCTGTATCTTTGTAAATTGGTAGAGCCTCAGAATATAGAGTCTTGGGCTTCAGCTTCTTTGGCATATCTCTGTCACCAATATTCTTTTTTATTTGCAGCCCTTTGCCACTCAATGTCACTGTTATCCCACTCAGTGTGTTCTTCAGTGAGAAGGTCAGTGTTTCAATGAAATAGCATTCTTGCTGCTTTCCAGTCCCTCAGATCAACAATGGGAAAGTTGTCAGAGTCAGAGATGGGCAGGTTGATGGGTCTTAGTCTTTCAGAGGTCTCACTATGGATTTTGGAGGTTTAAGCTATCTAGATGGCATCAAAGAAGTCTTGAGCATGGTCTCCAATTCTATGCTCAGAGAGAGCAGAGGAAGATAGTATAGCATCAAAGAAGTCATCAGAGACATTCTTGTCCTCATGATCTGAAACTAGAGGGAGATGTGGCAGGACTCAATTGGTGTCCCTCTAATGCTGAGGTTGCTGGAAAGGTTCTGGGGGATATCAATATTCTTTTTGCTTCTCCAGAAGATTTTCTCTAATCAAAACCTCAAGGATGGCTTTTGATATAGTTCCTTCTTCAGGCTCATTGGAGGCTCAGAGAGGCTCTAGAGAGAGGTCATAGAAGGAGAGAATGGGTGAGACATTCTATAGGATCTTGTAAATAGTTCTGATGGTCTGGTAGTATCTGACTACTTAAGCAGTAATAGACTGATTTCCTTGATAGAGGATGATAATGGTGAATAATCTGAGTAGGGTGCTGATGATGGCATTCAGTTTTCTTTATGCTAGTGTGCATAAGAAAAGGAAAGCAGAAAGCAGAAAGCTAATTGTTAGACTCAAAGCACATATGATCTGAACACATGATAAACTGATACTGTATTGAGTTCATACAGTCACATCAGAGTTCACCAAATGTGTTACTAGATATAGTGTTTCAAGGCTGGAAATGGATTAGGCTCAAGAGAGAATGGTATAAAATAAACTTTAGCTCAAAGCTGAATATACTACAGCAAGAGCTATGCTATTTATATACAGTTTGCCTATCAATAAATAGTCCTACTAATTGTATCCTTCTGTGTTATAGTTCTTGTCATCTTTCATTGTCAGAGATAATACAATGAGGTATTGTCAGTTGTCAAGACATCCATCACTGTCTATAGAACAATGATGGAGATTATCTATTGTGGTTGTATAATCATCCCATGTCTGCTCATAAGTGCTCAAAATTAGATAGACATCCTGATAAGATAAAAACAGATAGAAAAATTATAACACCATTATAAAGAAGCAATACAACAAGTCTCATCATCCTGCCATCAACTATAATATCAGCAATCAAGTCTGGCTTAATATGACCAACCTCCATCTCCTGTGATCAAAAAGAAAGCTTGCTGACAAATGCATAAGACCATTTTCAATCACAAAAAAGATCAGTGCATCTGCCTACCAACTGACACTCTCAGCCATCTGGAAGATTTATCTGGTGTTCAACAAATCTCTCCTTTCTCTGTATGTACTATCTGCCTTCTCTAATCAGAAAGTCCCACTGCCTCTCAAATCTGACTTGATTGAAAACAAGAAGCACTATGAGATCAAACAAATTCTCAATCCCACATCAGGAAAACACATAGTTGATATAGTGCCAGCCCCATCTTCTGAGTTGAATATCTTATCAAGTGGAAGGGATACAGGCTGGAATCAAATCAGTGGATCAGTGAGCATAATATAAATGCTGACACAGCTATTTATAATTATAAACTTTCTCTTAATTGAGCTATCAGGACAATAGTCTTAATGAGAGGATAATGTTATGATTTTTTGCTTATCTTATCTTTTATCTTATCTTATCAAAGTGCCCATCTTATCATAGACACTTATTAATGGGTGTGAGACAATTACTTAATTCTAATAGGTAGTCCACACTATTATTCTTCAATGTATAGTCAATGTCTCATCTATAGACAAATACTATATTGTCTTGCTCTCAACAATCAGACACCATGGTACTATAACATAAGAATGCATAACAAGTAGAACTTATATTTATCTTCACTGAAATATATATAAATAGGATAGCTCTCACTGTAGTATTCCAGCTTCAAGCTAAAGTTTATCTATATTGCTTATCTCTTTTGAGCTTGCTCAATGGAACACCTTGATCACACTGATCTGAGTATATAGAAGTGAACTCTGATATGACTGTATAAACTTGATATAGCATCAGTTTATCACATGCTCTAAGCACATGTCAAGCAGGTCTAACAATTTTAGCCTCTAATTATGATCTATCAACACTTAGAAAAGCCTGACAAAATCCCAATCCATTCAGCCTTAGCTATGGAGAAACCTTGCTAGAGCCACATGGAACTATAGATAATACATGCATGATAATAATATGCTGTGTCTGACTCATCATCTCATGACACAGCTGGTAATAGCATGATGGCTGCATAATAGGACTATACAATAGTGCAATAATAGCAAAGCCAACTGAAACTCATATCCAGCTCACTGTAATAATAGTATTATGGCTAAACAAAAGTGTGGATGCCCAGCAGAGAGATTATTGTTGTTGGACAATAAGTAGTAGACATGACAACCAAATAATAGTCATCTATAGAGAGAAGAGTTTTTTGAACAGTATTTAAGACAGTAGTATATGACAATGTACTCTAGTCTTGAGCTAAGATTAATTCATACTGACTAAACTCTTAGAGTCTTAGTGTGACTACCACTGCTAGTAACTATGCTGATGGCTATAGTCTATTGACCTCTATACCTCATCTCACTTATTATCATCCTCTATCTTATCATCAACTTTTTGCTTTATCTTCAGTTAGTGTTAGACTCCAGTGGCCACAGTGCTAAGCATTTGTGATTGTTTAGTCATTGTCTGACAGTTTGATAATAGAAAATCAGTGTTCTCAACTCTGATATACAGGCCATATACACTGAACAGAGGAAACAGAAGATTGGATCTAAGAAAGATATTGGGAGTTGAAACATTGTTGTTTTTGAACTACTATGACTACATCTTTACTGAGTTCATCAGGCACTACAATAGTCTATGTATTTGTATCTATGATACTGATTTAAATCTATGAATAGACTGAGCATCCTATTACAGAAATTATATACTTCTACCATCTGTTGGTTTTAAAACACTTAAGATAATTGATAGGATTATAACTCAGAGTTCTGAAAGTTGCAATAAGATCTCTCTTAGAGAATTAGGCCAATCATATTGCTGCTCTTACAAATCATTTGCTATAAGTCATCTTCAGTATCTTGTATGAAGATGCATTCTTGCTACTAGCTAGACTCAGTTCCTTATCACAACAAGAATATTTAACACTGCCTCTATCTAAGAGTTATGAATATGCCAATGCCAGTTTAGAACATTCACTACTATCTCATAATCAGATTGCTGAATGCTATTTAATATTAGAAATAAGATCCATCTCACTATTCACCATAGTATTTAAGATGATCTTAATATGATAATCATTGCTGCAATGCAACAGATTTTTTGCTGTGCTACTGTATGCTATATAATGAGAGATATGAATTGTGTTATATCTACAGATTACTCCCTCACTTATCTTTCACACTTCACTCAGACTTTCTTGATGTCCAATCAGACCAACATCAATAGAGCTATTATATACCAACTTCTTGATGCTAAACTGAATTCAATAATACTCTTCTCTCTACTGAGTGGTATGTATATTCATTTATTCAGATACATGAGTTTAATCAGAGCTCTACATAGGCCTATATACTGGAATAGTTGCTATCACACTGTGGAATATCTGTGAGAAGAACATTCTAATTCTCTACTATGCTTTAAAAGCTAAAGTGAATGGCACAGTTATAAACAAGTCTCAGCACATCAGACAAGTTGGCATCACCATTGTTTTAATCTTTCTCTATATTTTTACCATTATTGACTTTGCCTTCACTTGGTTATACATCCATTTTATTTTTATAGACAATGGACAAAGCTTTTGGACAGAATATATGTTTTCTCAGAGTCCTCCAACAATGGAAGTAATTGGTTCTGGCATAACAGGTACTCTCCATACTATTCTAGCAGATTCTACTATGGTGTGTGTGACAATAAAAATGTGTAATGCAGCTTACCATCATTCTGATATAGATTTGGCGGTGTTGGATAGTCTGGGGTCAGCACTGGCTGGTCATTCTGCCTCCTGTACTTTTTCTTCTTTCTGCAATTGGTAAGATCTCTCAGATCTCTTAGAATTGGCAAATTTATGCAACAATTTGTGCAGCATTCAAAATTATTTTTCTCTATCATGACTATATGAAGGCCAACTATGAGAAATTAATCATCAATGATATGCTTTATTCATCCTTTATGCTTGCAATAACTTTGTGGTGCACAGTGCTCATCATCTATTGAATCATCACTGTTGTACAAGCAGGAAGTCAAGCAAATGGAATCAGAGCTTATCATCATATCATTGAAGTCTTTGGGGAATCATCAGCTCTTTATTCCATATGCTTGATTCTATATATGGTTTTTACCTCATATGTTATATTGGAATACTTTGATTGTCTAGCAGCAGTTGCAAAAGTATGCTCATAATCTTTTCTAGTCTTCATATCTAATAAATATCATATAGGGAATTGCTCCAACACTTCTTGCTGGACATGTTGCAGCAGGTCATACTTGCCCAGATGACTCTTGGCAGGGAAGTGTGATTTCAGGCTCACTTCACTTTGGAACACATTCTGGAGGCCAGACTTCTCAGCAAGATTCCATGATCAGCATTGATCTTGAATCCCAGCAGGAGATAGGTGATGAGTATGGCCATCAGAATCCAGCATCTTCTGAGGAAGATAGCACCTATGACAGTGGCATCCAAGAGGATGACTTGGAGGTGGCTCAGCAGAAGAGAGATATCATATACTCTTATCACACTCTGGCAGAATCTCAGACAGATGTTGGTATCAACTCAAAAGGTGTCATCTGTGAAGATGATCCTGAGTTACACACATACAGAGAGAGAGAGAGATGAAGGATATAGTCATTGTATGTTGAAGGGCTCCAGAGAAGATATTGGTATCACAAGTGTCATCTCCAAGTTCTAGATGATCAGCAGACACCATCAATTACCTACTTTGAGTAATAGACCATATTCTATTCTTCTATTTTAATATTTATTGGGCATTGATTGATCTTTATCCTTCTACATATAATATTATATATAATGCATACACTTTCCTTATAATCATTCACTGTCATAAGAGAGATCTGTCTGCAGGCATACTTGAGAAGAGAGAGAAGTAACTTTCCTGCTTCTAGGTAGAGATCTTCTGACACTGGCCCTCCATTCAAATGATGTAAAAATGAGATGCAAAGCTAAGTGACAAGTAGATCAGACAAGTATTCATCTATATATACAACTTGAAGAAACATCAACCTATGAATGAAACCTTTTACATGCTGGAGCAAAGTATATACAGAGACCTAAGATATGGCTTGTACAAGAGCTGTGTCTAAGTAGGATAGGAGAAATGAGAGAAGCACTGCTTGGTGAACAAGTAAAAAGTTGTTTAGGATCAATGCCAAGATTGATGCAGCTTATGTGTTTCCTCATTTCTTATCTGATGTGTTTCCCATTGTCTTATTGCCCTTTGTCACTCTTCTTTATTAGTATGTTGATATTATCTTGCCTCTGTAGACTATATATTCTCATGAAAAGCAGTGAACTTTCTTACTCTCTCACTTAATGCTTGCAGTTACAGTATATATAGAACTTTTCTTTCTTGGTCTCATCCCCTCTCTATCCTGGCTAAACCCAAATGTGATCTCCCACTGAGACATCTGATCACTGGCAAGTACATATTGAAGGATGAGCACAAAGCCCTGCTAGCAACTATTTACACCAATATGGATCATATCAACATATCTATTCTTTCTTCATCATTGTCATCCTTCCATGTAACCTCTCAACCCCCATCTCCCAGCAATATGTCAACACCAACTTCCAAGAATGTTATGAAATTGGCTCAGCAAGTAGCTGATCTCACCACACTGGTAACAAAGCAAGTGCAAGCAGCTACAGTGAGCCTAATTCTGACAGCTCTGATGGTTGATCAACCAGCTACTCCAGCCTCCAGTGCAGACCTCTTCCTAGATCCTCTGATATCAAATTCTGCCACTGGTACATCACCTTCTATTTTCTCTTTGTTCCCAGAAGTTGAGGTGGCCATCATTATGATGGTAATTCAATATGATCTTCATGCTTCTGATATCTACAAGCTGAACCTAAAGCACAGAGATAAAACTGAAAGAAAGACTCCAGAACTCAATAGTACCAAGCTCAAGCTCTCCAATGTCAATGCAGCATTAAAAGAGTACAAGACTCTGAACTCCATCATTGATCCCCTCTCAATGTATTTCTCTATTCTAATAATACATGCTCAGCCATCTGGAAAATCAGCACTGCTTGGTATTCAGCTCTTTCATTATACAGCTCATCTTTTGAGGATTACATCTGAATACAAATGGCATGCAGTAGTCTTATACCACATGGCTTTCTTCACCAAGTATCAGGAGGAGATGATGGATAGAGACTATGCTAGGTGGAGTAAGATTGACTTGGAGTTACAAGGCAAGCATCTCTTTCTCTACTATAAGGCAAAGGTAACCACTTCTCTCATGGCAAGGAAGAGCTTACTAGGTACTGACCAGATGGCTCCTTATCATAACTTTAACTTAGACAGATACATCAGAGAGAAGTACCTCTGGAGTTGTTCTCACAGCTGCACCACCTGCAATAAAACTGATCATGGTGCCTATAACCACCCAAAGACTACTTAGATTGGTAGAAGGGTGAGCTACTCTTCACTGCCTTCTCATCCAGACTCACTTTCTGGTGAGACCAAATATCATCCTTCAGGCACCTCTATTTCAGACATATTCCCTCTTCTATTGTTGTTAGATGAGAAACTGAGTGATGATGCTGGACTTAGAGGTGATGCTGACAGTCTGGAGCCATAGAAGGTCTCATCACTCATATACCATGAGTTGAAGTCATAGCCATTCTTGTCACAGACTCTATTGTACCTCTTATTGCCTTTACTGTGAACTGTGCCTGAGCATCTAGTCTGACCAGTGATGCTAGAGCAGATGTGTGATGTGAAAACTACAGATAGTTAGTTGGCTTTCCAAATATCTATCTTATTGCAGCATATGCCATAAAAGCCTGTACCAGAGCTGGCAGATATATCAGTCCAGTTAAATATATTTGTCTGTCAGAATATTTAAGTCACTTTAAAAAGTGAAAAATAAGACACATACCTGTCCATCAATAAACTTGAGGTCTTAGGGACACTGAGTGTCACAGTAGCTTAGACCATATGCAATGCCAGCAATATTGGTGGAGAATCTCATTTTACCCCTGTCAGCATCCATTTATATGAAATACAAAGCTCTGTTCAATCTGCAAGGCAAGTTGGATATATCAATGTCAAAGGTGAACTCCTTGTTCTTTATATTGAAAAAGTGGTATATGCTCTCATTGTCAAGCAAGTAAACATGGCTTTCAACATTGATGTTGACTCTATAGATGACAAAATTCAAAGTGAGAGCATTACTGCTAGTCAAGATACCACAAGTGTCAGAGTAGTCTATGCCATCCAAAGCACAGTTGGCAGTGCAGGTATCAATATTGAGACAGAGGGTGGCATCCCACTAGTTGCTGGTGTAGCAGTTGGTGTAGCTGATAGTGCTATAGAGCTAATACCAGTTGGAGTTGAGAATGACTGACTTGGACTGCATGATGCAGCTACCTCCATCAGAGCATTGCTTGACAGTGAGTATAGGATAGTCTTTAGCCATGTAAGTGCCAACCTGCTGATCATGAATGGATCAAAGGAGGGTGAAAGTGAAGATAGCTGCTGTACTGTGCATGCTATTTTGAGATGTGGAGAGGACTAGTAAAATTTCCAACACAAACTGTGTTGTTTATATATAATACTTCTTAGAGAAAGTCTGAGGATGAATGACAAGGCTGAAGAGTCATTACAAGATGTGCAAAGCCATTCAAGACATCAGAGTAACTGATCAACATCATTCACTGATGTTCCAGAGACTCTTCAGCCTGGCAGATATTAGGTTTCATCATTGAGTTCATAGAAACATAAACTGCTTCAGAATGCCAAGATGCTCTTGACTGCAAATAATCTGTGCTACTGCCAAGTGTATAGATGGTGTGGTAGGTTTACTTGTCACAAAGCTCAAAAAATTGATATCAATCTGAAAGAAGTAAGTGAGTGTTCATAAAATGAATAGCACAGAGTGACATTCAATAAAAACCCATTATTTATACCACAAATCCATCTTCAAACACATGATGCAATCAACAAGGTGATATCAGAACTAATTTTTAAATCCAGATGCTGAATTGAATTCAAAAAGGATTGAAGTTCTTCTTATACTTAGTATCTCTTCAATCTATAGATTTCTCATATCTCTGAAAAGTGGCTAGATAGATTCCTAGAGTTAGCTCAACTGACAATAATAGCAATAAAAAGGCTGAATACTAAGGGGACATTAATCTGAGAGTTGAAAGAAAGCATTACAATATCATAGAGGACTTCTGACACTTCCAAGTCAAACAGTATTTGGGCTTTCCCTAAGGCTAATGGTGAATCAGTGGAGTATAATCACCATGTATCAAAGGCATTTAATATATTCAAGAGCTCAGATGCTCCAGATACAGCTGGGTAGACATCAAAAATATCTTCAAAGTTACAAGATCAATTGTTGAATGTTGACAGTTCAGTCTAGAAATGACATGTAAAACTGAGCACAGATACTTAGCATATGTGTGAAACTTTTTTTTGCTCTTTTTAGTTTACTGTATGCTATTCCAGCTCATATGACTTTTGCATGACCTTCAAGTTTCTCTCTTGAACCAAGCAGATTCTTGAACTCTGATTCTAAAGAGTCTCTCCAATTCAAACCTACAATAATGTTTCAGGAGGAATTGAATCCAGATCTCATATCTTATATGCTATTAGACCATATGAAATTTGCATTAGACTGCCTACCCATCAGATGAGTATGCCCATGGTACTGTAGTCCTTGACAGGCAAGAATGAATTCTATATCTGGCAGTTGAAGAAACCCATTTTGGAAACTTGCTCTCATCTACAGCATATTGTATAGCTCTGCTCAATATTTGACCACCATGCCAGCTCACCAGACCTCTATTAACTGTTCTGATCCCTCTGCATTTGCTGTGTGGTTGACCAAAATCAAGATGCCTACGATCTTGGTGTTCATGATGGGGCTGCAATATGAGCAAGAAGAGAGATGCTAGACCAGTAGAGAAAGAGAGGCTGGTTGCAGTTGAGATGGCAATATCTGATGCAAGAAGGAATTGTTGATGTATGCTGGGTTGAGTGCAGAAGGAGGATGGTCTATCAGTAGAGGTTCATGATGTCCCTCAGGTTTCATTCACCTTTATACTAACTACATTTTAAGCCTTTCTCATTGACATCAGTAGAGCTCACCATGCAGAATCTCTTCCTCAAAACTGACAGCTGCCATACTCCTTCATGTCTCTCCTCTTGTGATCCACCATACTTTTCTTTTGAACTTGCTCTTTGGGTGTAGTGAGCTACTGATAGGAAGCAAGGAAAGAGACATAGGTATCTCCATGTGAGTGTACTGTCTAGTGCTTGGTGGATTTGACTGATTAGGATACTGTCAGAAACACACATTGTTACAGTAGACCAATGTAGGGACTGAGTATCTATAGTGCTGTGCACTCTACTATTGCTTTCCATCCCTCACTAGCCAAATACATGCTCCTCAGTCCTCCTTCATGTTGTTGTCCAAAGTGGTGCTATGCAGACATTTTGCTTATGCTCTAGTGGGAGTCAAACTTGCTTGGACCTGTATCCAGTATCCTATCAGAGCCAGGAGTGAAGCAGCTGGAATGAGTACATGCTTGCTCATTGTGTGAAATGTGACTGGACAGCTGACAGTATGTCACCTGCAGACTTTTTGTGGACTTGTATTCATCTCTTTCCAGGATCCAGTGTGAAAGGCAAAAAGGGTCACAACAAATGTCTCTGCATACTTTGCTGCTAGTCAGCTCACATAGTAATCCTGCACTTACATGTCTTCATGCAAGTGAAGGTACGAAAGCAAATGCCTACTCAGTGTCCTCCACCTGAGCACAGTCCTTGTTGTATCTCTCTCTTCAGTTACATTGTATAAACATTTGAAACTGCCCAATGACAGTGCTACTCTAGGCACCTTGATACTCTGCACACCCCAAAATCAATACACCCCCAGAAAAAAACAGTGACTAACTCAGAGCTATATTATGAGTGCTTCTTATGGGAGTTGAACCCGAATTACTATGTCCCCGTATACAGCCAATACGCTACAAGAGCTCATACTACATCTTTTGGTAACGGGCTACCTTCACTCGAGGTGTAGCACACTTGTGATGCCATTCCTCGACAAAGGTATACAAAAATACAAACAGGATAAGCTACAAACCCCGAGACGACTCTGTACAAAATGACACGGTTTATTCATATTCCCCGACTAGGAGTCGAACCCAGATTCAAGTGTACTAACCGATGTCCTATCAGAGATTAGAATGGTATTATTGATGGCAATGACATCTCTGTCACTCTCCTTCATCAAGCTCATCCTGGTTCGGCGACTTTGTCAAGGGTGTTCTCACCCCGCCACATCCATTGTACGGTTCTGTTCCACATCTGGTGCATACCATAAGGCTGACCGTAAACATGCACATAGCATACACCATCTCTCTTCACTTGCCATCACGAAAATCACTATGGTCCTCCCGCTTTTGCACAAGGCCACCACCAGCGGTAGGAGACGAGATGTAGGACCTTTTCGCATAAGGACAAGCCAGTCGCACAGTCAAGGCAAACCAACACCCCGTCGACTCGATGATGACGCGTCGATTTGGACTTGGTGATTTCACGAGCTACTCAATGTATGTTAGTGTCTCGGTGTGATGGCGACCTCCTCGCATCTGAGTCATCTGCGCCATGGTCGTAACAAACTTTTAGCATTCTCGGCGACTCCCTTTCCTTGCCGCGTTGGACCTGATATAACGTCAGACGTTTTCCTTTGCACCACTCTCCTTTATGAAGTGATACGTAGCACCAAAACAGAGATTATATTTCTAAACATGCCATTCAAAACCAAGGCTCATTCGCGCATACACACACTAAGTTCATGTAGGAACGCGTCTCGTCGTGGAACATGATCAACTGCAACGGCAGCACGATACATACTAGACGACACATGCACGTAAAAAATGCCAGAAATATCATCTCATTGGAATGGAGGGTTTGAACTGTACCTCATTTCGCGACTCGGACATCACAAAGAGGACTACTTGTCGCAACTTGCGCATCTGATCTGTCTTTCCCTCTGACAGCGAATGATATGACCATAGGTGCATCTTCATCTGCTCCAAGTCTCAAGGGAGATCGCCGCAAGCATGTTCCGTAAGGCGACTTTTCAAAGCAGATGCCAATGCGCTAGAGAGCACCGATTCATCGTCAACCTCCCACGCGCCTCGCCCACTCCAAGGGGAACTCCAACAAACAGAGAAATACAATCAAACATTTGCTTCGCGGTCCGTACAGAGAAACACCACCACCGTCAAACTAGAAATGAGTGAGCACGCACGAAAACAAAAAAAAAACACCCCACCCAGATCTCAACCCTCACACGGGCGTAGCCCACTCAGCCGCCGGCCTCAAGCCCCAGTTCGCCAGCCACGTCGTAAACTCCCCCGCAATCTTCTGATGACCAGCGACGGTTGGATGCAGATTACTATTCGGACGTCAGTCAGTCAGTCAGTCAGTCACTCCCCAGGGAGTCGGACAAAGCATACTCCGGGAATATATCACCATACGCGACCCAGCCTGTCGTATTCACGAGATGGACGTTAGGATCCTGGCTGCGCACGGACAGTGAGTGAGCAAAAAGCGAAGGGACCAGAACCACGGTGGGTGGGGACCGCTCGCTACCTCTGGCTTACTATCTGCTCGTAACTCCCGACGTAGTAATAACCGACGGTGCCATCCGGTTGGGGCCATCCCCACTGGAGACCGACCGACCGACCCGTTAGTGATTAGTCGGGCCCAGGATACAGCACAGCACGTACAGGTGTGAACACGAAGATCGGCTGTGTGGGGTAGATCGTACGGAGGCGCTGAAGGAAGGAGAGGTATACCTAGAAAAACGTCGTGCATGAAATCGGGCCAATCGTTCGCATACCATACCGCCCATATGCTTACCGTGACGAACTGAGATGCGGAGACCCCGTGAGAGACATCGTTTGCTCTAGATAAAATTCAATCTAGCACGGACTCGCAGACCCGAACGCAACGCACCCTATATGAATGACGATATGCGTAGGAGTCGGCTTGTCGTTGGAGAAATTCCATGGTGTCGTATAATCGTGGTCGGGCATATCAATATAATTTGGGTCCTCAGTCTGTTATTAATAGTGAACGTCAGCCAGCAATTCCCACAATAATCACAGGTCTGCTATACGTCGAAGAACTGGACAGACATCCCATGTGGGTTGCTGCAGGAGACTACATCCTTGGAGGAGGAGGGGAAGGGGGGCCGTTAGTCTTCCACCGACGAATAGCAGACAAAAACTCACCGCCAGAGCGATACATGGCTGGGCGATGACGGTGGCTTCTGCCTTGAACTCTTCTCCGATGAGAAAAGGCCACGCTTGGTCCACGCCCATAGGAAGGTATTGTCCCTGTACAACTCAAAAGTTCAGACCAAAATCAGTTATAGCAGAAGAACACCCCTCACCGCAGACAGGGAATCGCCGATGAATAGGAAATTAACATCCGCGGCCTCATATGGCAGCAGGACCGCATCCTGTCGTTCGTCACCATCAGCCGGTATGTACGTATTCCTGAGGGGCAACAGAACCTGCTTACCGAATTCAACACCAGATCTTGAAGAAGCATCCGTTCATTCTGCCACCCCCAAGCGTTGATCCGGACGACACTACCACAGGCGTTCGGGGATCCCAAGGGGATGACATTCGTTCCCGGAGAGGCGTTCACCGACGTAAAGTTACCATAGTCGACGGATACTCCCAGACCGACCGGGCTCGACGAGTCGGCTTGCAGATCCAGAGAGAGCGTCTGTAGGTTTTGAACGTACAGCTTGAACCCCGTGCTTGCCCTGTAAAATCACAGCGGTCCAAGTCGAGTCGCGCGACCTGAACATGCCGCGACTCACCACCAGCTTCCTGGGGAGCTATCCCAGCGTCCATGAAAGTAGATCAGAGGGTTGTTGTTCGCGATTGTCAGAGCAACGGTGGAGACGACGGCTGTGGACAGACCAAGGCCCAGAGACTTTGCGAAAAACATACTTACTGTTAAGGCTTGCGGTAGGCCTGTGTGGCTTTTTGAAGCATTAAAATGTCGGTCAGGTGCAAGAGGCTCCCGATGAATTACCGATAGGGGATCTGCAGATCTCGCGAGGAACATCCACAGTGAATATCGTAGCTGACAGTTCTGAATCCGAAAAATCACCCAAAGGATCAGGATTGATCCCTGGGCGCCAAGGCAGATCACGAATACCTGCAACCTACCGAGCCATGAGGGTCAGGCTGATTAATATCGGCATGATGCTTTCCGCACAAACGCTGAGGCGAACTGCGGAGGGAATGGCCTGAGCGCCGCAAGGACAATAACAGATGAGCCGAGAAGACCGTTCCAACGCTGTATGCCGGCCAGGCAATGTGCGGGAGATGCGTTATAGCAAGCAGAGGACAAATGCCGACAACCTCCCGCGAAGATTCTAACGCGATCCATCGTCAGCCATATTTGGAGAACGAGCGCCGTGACTCTTGTATTACCATCTCCGGAATGACATTTGATGCTGGAAAGGCATTTCTTCGCTGTTGAACAGATTTCATTGAATGGGCTGGCAATAAGACTGTCATTGAAATCAGGAATAGTAAGCAAATTAACCGAGTATTGGAAAGGGTGTTGGTATGAAGTGGTGAATCCGACTCTTGTTGGGATTCGGGAAACTCGAAGCTACATGTCACCAGTGTTCGTTCCATAACTATAAACGTTCCTTCCAAGGTCGCAGTATTCACATCGACTCGTCATCGGGATGGCCTTTTCGTTGTCATCATCAACCATGCACAATGTCATCTCTTCAGCATCTATTGACCCAAGAGGTAATGCATCGACGGAACGGTAGCGATAATTCGATCACCATCGAAGCCATGATAGATGGTATGACAAGGCGAACTAAGACGTTGGCTTCTTTCGTCAACATTATCATTGAGGAGCCTGAAGGACCAGACCACGACGTGGTTTGGTTCAAAGCGCCGAGGCCCTTTGTAAAGCATACTGGCTCGAGAATCGCGGAACGATCCCTGGATCTGAAAGCGAGATGAGAAAAAAAGAGACGATCGTACATGGACCATGGCTGGACAATGTACTGAAGAATCTAACGGCATTCAAATACTCTGAGCGTGATTCTGCGGCACCTCAAGTGAGCTGACGTAGGAGATTGAAGATGGACGGCCGCATTTTTCGTGCATCCAGGAATTGCAGCCTTAAAGGTGTCGCCGAAATAGACACGCTGACCGAAGGACTATGGGCTTCTATGCCACGAGGATGGGCTGCCTCCTACCACCAGACACGCGCCAGGTAAAGCGAGGACCTCTGCGGCCTGGACTCTATGATGAATAATCTTGGGGCCGCACTGGAGAACAAAGGCGAAGTGAGCGAATGGTACCATAGATAATAACCCGAAGCCTACCGCACTTCAAGTTGCTGTTTTTTTCTTACTGTGCGTTGGTGCGACAATAAGATTTTTGATGCAAAATTGGATACTTGACCGCATATATGCAGGTCTGCGGATGAGCAGGGCAGCTAAATTTTCGTATCAGCTGGAGATGGAAATGTTGGGTCACCATTGCACCTGGCAATGCCGTGGTCGATGACGTTGGCGTACTCCCCAAAACACTGAAGAGCAATGGATGCCAAGACGATATATCAGATGTAGAGAGCAGGACCTTTACGGGGATGGTCAGACTCGTACTGGAAGACATAATATGACAGATCATGACCGACCTCGAAGATAGATAGATATCCAGGTGAGGTAAAGATATTCGTCACGTCTGGCGCTGCAGAGAATGGACTTTGTGTGTCTCTCTTCAGAGCAATATTTGACGCGAGTCCGGTGACGAATATTGAACCGTGCGTTCGGTGGCACAGATCTCTCCGCCCTACCTGTCGTCGAGGTATAAAAAGGTGGCCTCCTTCTTTATTGCTCCCTTCCCTCCTTCCTCCACCGTCTACTCGTAGCCGAAGCTGCTGCGGCCACGATATACGACGTGGCACGGAACGTCAAAGCTCCGAGTATGCACCGACACTCAAACTACTGCATCCCAGGATCCAAATCTTGAAGACGAGCACTCGACAGATTATGTGTTGAGCAAGAGAATGAAGGTCAGGGTCGGCCGTATAAAGCAAGGGACAATAATTGTGGCATGTGGCTGTGATGAACGCGACTTGTTGTCTTACATCAGAGAAACCTTTTGTCATGTTTCTATAATTGATCATTAGTACGGCTCTCTCTCTACTCCTTTTCTTTTTACTCTCACTCACCAACCCTCATCTCGGAGATCCACCAACCAACACCAACACCACCATGGACAAATTCCCGCAAGAGCTCATCGACCTCATCATCGAACAACTCGCCGACGACCCCAGAGCCCTGGGAACCTGCCTTTCCCTCTCGCGCACCTTCCGCCCGCACGCGCAAGCCCTCCTCTTCCGTACCACGCGCATATCCTCTGACCTCGCCTTTCTCAAATTCACCGACGTATGCCACAGCTCGCCCGCCGTCCAATACCTCGTCCGCTCCCTTCACTTTGTGTACTCCATCGACCTCCTGGCGAGGAGTGGCAGCGTCGCCGCGCGCCAGCTCCGCATCCTCTTCCTCCCCAACGTCGACACGCTCCACATCGACGGCGGCGGCAACTTCTGGGACGACAGCCTCGTCGGGTCCATGACATCCGTGATCACCTCGTTGACCCTCGAGGGCGTCGAGTTTTCCTCCGCGGACAGTTTCCGCAGGTGCATCCGCTCTTTCCCCCAGCTCAAGTCACTCAACCTGACCGGTGTGTCCTCCCCTCCGAGTCCGAGAGGGAGCGTCGTCGATGGCTCTTTCCTCTGGCGTGCGAACGACATGAATATCCCATTGTACGCGCTGCGCAGCCTTCGCCTCCACATCCCATTACGCGACGTATCCGAAATACAAAGCATCCTCAACGGCGTTCGTCACACACTCTCTCAACTGTCTGTATCTCCCATGCTTCCCAATGACAGTGCGTGTATCATCTCCATTCCCCTAGTATCTAACCCTAATCCACGTGTATAAACAGAAACTCCAAAACTCTTCACAAACGCCCAAGTCCTCGATTTCTCCCGTATCCCAGTCGTCGACTACGTCATGTCCTACATCCGCCACGAGGCGACCTTCCTCCTCGAGGGCCTGGAGTTCCTCGAGCTCTGCGTAAAGAAAGGCACCGGTCCAGCCTCCCTCCAGCACCTCACCGTCATAGTCCCTCCACTCCCCAATCAAAAGGAGCTCGAACAGCTGAGCGGAAACGACATATGGGCACTCTTGGATACCGCGCTCTCTGCATCCCGGTTCGCCTCTCTTAAAGTCCTCAGAGTCTCCATCGGATCGGAAGGTGAAAATATGGTCGTCCGCAGGAATATCGTAGAGCGGATGCCCGTCCTTCATGAGGAGGGTCGACTCTTGATTGAAGCACATTGATTTCACTATGTGTTCGAGTCCTCTGCCACTGACATGGTTCACTGACTAGAACTCTCTGATTGAGGCGCATTGATTCGCTATATGTTTAGACTTGTCTATCCTTGTATCATAGATGGTAAACTATCAACGAGTGCGACTGCGTCTCCCACATCCTCATCCGTGTCCTCGAACGTCCGAACCTAAGTGATAAAGCAGATCTTTTTGGCTCGAGAACTGGTACTTGTTGATGCCTTCCTGTCGAAATCGCGTCGGAACTAGGACTCGCCATCGCCATCGCACATGTACATGATTTCGGGAGAGAAAGCCGCGAAACTCAGCCAGGGCGGCGTGGTGATATGGCGGGACGGACACGACAAATTAGATGGCATAGTCTGCTTTTGTTCAAGTCATGGCGCCGCACCCCTCGTCCCCGTCACAGTCAAACAAAAGATTTCTCTGATGGAAGACGGGACGAAAAGACGCGCTGATCACAGCCATATGCCACATAATTATTGTCCCTCCGACCCTGACCTTCATTCTTTTGCTCGACACGTAATCACGTCTCCCTCAGAAAATCGCTCGTCTTCAAGCTTTGGATCTTGGGATGCAGTAGTTCGAGTGTCGGTGCGTACTCGGAGCTTTGACGTTCTGTGCCACGTCGTAGTCGTATATCGTGGCCGCAGCAGCTGAGTCGGCTACGAGTAGACAGTGGCGGAAGGAGGCTACCCTTTCATACCTCGACGACAGGTAGTGCGGGGAGATCTATGTACCGAACGCACGGTTCAATATTCGTCACCGGACTCGCGTCAAATATTGCTCTGAAGAGTCACACCAAGTCCATTTTTCTGCAGCGCCAGACGTGACGAATATCTTTACCTCACCTGGATATCTATCTATGGCCATGGTTTGTTATATTCTATATTCCAGTCCGGAATCTGACCATCCTCGTAAAGTTCCCGGTTCTGTACATCTGAACCACCCAGGATAGCCCCGCATATACACATTTCATTCTCCTTTCTCCAGCCACCAAGCCAACATGAAAACATAGCTCCCTGCTCGTCCACCGACCGGCATATATGCGGTCGAATATCCAATTGTTGCTTTGAAAAGTGAGAGAAAACATCAAACTTCAGCTTCATGAGTGATACGCTTCAGGTTATTATCTACGGCACCGTCCGCTCATTCGCCTCAGCGGCCCCATCATGGAATCCAGGTCGCAGAGGTCCTCGCTCTACCTGGCGCGTGTCTGGTAGCCCCTCCTCGCGGCATAGAAACCCGTAGTCCTTCGGTCGGTGTTACCTACCATCACAGCGAGACTATTTTGGCAACATCTCTATCCAGGCTGCAATTACTAGATGCAGGCGGCCACCTTCAATCCCCTACATCAGTCAGCTCACATGTCCTGTCCACCTAGCAAAAGCAGCGCTCAGACGGCGCCAAAATTACGCTCAGGGTATTTCGATGCCGTTAGATCCTTCGGTCGGTCCGTTGTCCAGCCATGTCCATGTATGTTGTTTTTTTTGCTCATCTCAATTCCAGATCCAGTGATTGTTCCGATTTCCCAACCCCCGTGGAATCTGTTACGTTTCGAGCAAACAGACACCGAAGAGAGGACGTCGTGCACGGTCGATGAGGCCCTAAAGACCTGAAGACTCCTCCTACTTCGAGAAGCCGGTACTTTGAACTCGCAAAAAGGCGACGAGAACAAGTCCGAGGTGATTAAGCAAGGACAAGCCTTCGTTGTCAGGACCACCACGTGCGAGCGAGCTTCGAGGTACCGTTATTTCCATCAGAGGCTTGAAAAGAAAGTGATGGACGCGGCGATTAAGATGTAAAACTTTTTTTGCTTGTGAAGAGAGGTGTGTTGTAAGGCTATTTTGGGGATCGAGGAGTGCCCAACATCTCGAAAGGCAGATACGAGCGTTCTCATTTACAAAACTATAGACTGTCAACGTTCAACCTGTAAGCGAGGGTGGTAAGTATTACATTATTGGTGGTGATGGAGTGCTTGTGCGGAGTGCTATGTAACTGGTCTTGTGAGCACTTTTCTCACAGGTGAGTGGTCGGGGGGTCATGATATCGATCGACTCTCAGGCTGTCCATTAGATAGACACTAGAATATCTATCCTTGAGGTAGATTGCTGAACTCCTCGGAGAACATACTACATAGGTCATGCGTATGTTCGAGTCCTCTGGTCGGTGATGATATGGAAGCCCGCAAGAACGCAGATACCGGGACATGCTGAAAGAGAGCTTCTGCGACGAAGTGCTTGCCATATGCTATACGCTTCGACATCAGAAGGCGTCTCTGGGTGTAAATCGTCCGTTGGCCATACCCATTGTCCGAGTCGCGTGTTCGAGTTTTGGACGCTGTCGAATGAGCGGCATGGTCCAGGGTCATCAATCTCACTCCAAGCCAAGTGGGATAGTCAGTCACATGCGGGTTCGTCGAACGATCTATCTATGCTACATAAAACCAGTATGTTACGCCCGGGGCCCGGCGAGATATCGACGAATGGGGGATCATCATGGCATCAATGATGGAATCAAAGCAAGTACGGGACGAACCACCAATGCACGTCTCGAGCGTATTGCACCCAGTCATCGCCGAACAGCAACCTCATCTGCTTATCCTCCGCGCGGGCCCTGCTGATCCCCACCGAGATGGTCCACGTCCACCAGAGGGCCCAGAGGGCCCACCGGCTCCAGTCGTTGAAGATGCACTCTGCGACCCAGCCGCCGCGCGTCAGGTGCGCGAGGGCGATCCCTGCTACGAGGAACATGGAGCCGGTGTAGGAGGGATGGCGGACGATGCCGTATAGGCGCGTCTTGACGAGCTTGTGCGCGGGGTGCACGGTTAGGTCGAAGGTGAATAGTTCGCCGAGGGCACGGAAGCAGTCGAGGCGCATGACGGAGCCGGCGAGGATGAGGATGGAGCCGATGGTGAAGAGTGTTGTGGGGAGGACGTGTGGGGAGGAGGAGGCGGGGGAGGAGGAGGAGGCGGGGCAGATTGCGGGGGATGCGTAGGTGGGCGCGGGGTGGATGGTGGTGAGGTAGAGGAGCGTTTCGAAGGCAGCGAAGATCCATAGGGCTACAGAGTGCAACTGCGAGGGCCGCGGGTGAGGGTGAGTGGTGGGGGGGCACACGACGAAGGAGGAAGAGAAAAAAACATACCCAGAAAATAAAAGGTGCGATTTGGAGGATGTACAGCTCTTCAGTATGATAACGTCCCTTTTTTGGTGTAGGATTGGGAGGCGTCATCGCAGAGTGGTGCGCTATCGCCTGGACGAGAGTCAGGGTTGCTCGAACGAGAGACATGGATGGGATATCGCTGGCCCGATGTCTGTCCTTTTTATATATGATGATTGCGGGTTCATTTTGTCTCTTTCGGGTGCCTCCGTTGCGAAGATAGAAGGAACAAAGACCGGAAATGGGAGATCTAGCTCCAGAGTTGTGGAAATTTCCAATAGCTTTTTCCCTTGTGAAATTTTTGAGTTTGTAAAGAGTATGAGATTCACGCTGTGGTCGCGGCGAGTTTTGTGGGTAATAATCTTGAGGGGATTTTTATGCGAATGAATGTTCCTCAAGCTTTAGAGGGAAAAAGGCAATCTCTCGGTGTCGGGCTTCGATCTGCAATTGGAGAATCGTAGTTGCCGCGCTTGGCTGATAGGTTTATAGTCGCCGACGGCCGAAATGTTTGAATCATTTTAGGGACAAACCCTGCAAGTGCAAGAACTTGAACGCTTTTCCATATTACCGAGGAGGCCAGTTTGCTCTCACCCTCTTTCAGTGCCTTGCCTTCTTACACCGAGATCCATTGCGCTCTTTCTTGTCCAATAAACTTGACTCGGCCTCGGCCTCTGCCCGAGCTCCCGGCGACAAAACACGCCTGAGGTGATGAACGTAATGCAAACGAGAGCGCTGGGTGCGGTTTTGTGGTGATGGTGGTGGTGGTGATGATGACGGTCGAAACGCTGCATCCATCCAGTTCGGGATCACGTATGTCGCACATGAAACGCGACAAATATTAGATAGGCATAACAGTCTGCTTTGTTCACGTCATGGCGCACCCCGTTCCCCCCCCCCCGTGGTCAGTCAAGTTGTCCGTCCCGTCATATCCCCACGCCGCCGCCCTGGTTGAGTTTCGGGGGGCTTGAGGGCGAGGGCGAGTTTAGTTCTGACGCGATTTCGACAGGTGGGCTTCAGCAAGTGCCAGCGCTTGAGCCAAAAAAAAAAAAAAGCGGTTGTGGGAGACACTACTAGCCCCAACGATGGTTACCCGTCTATAATCCAAGAATAGACAAGTCTAATTTATTCAGAAACCATGTCAGTGAGAGAGGACTTGAACATACGCATGACCTGCTCTTCGAGGAGTTCCAGCAATCCACCTCGAGGATATTATCAGTGAGATTCTAGCATAATGGACAGGGTATTATGACACAAAACCCTCACAGTCTTTGGATTTCAGGGCCGTATGACTCGGAGATTAATCACCAATAGGACCAGTTACATAGCATTCTGCACAGACGAGAGAAAGGTTCAAGTCAGGGCCGCAAGCTCTCCCATCAACACCGGTTACTATGTAATACAGTCATGTATAAATCTACCTGAAGAGGTATCTTCCCATAGCAATCATGACAAACATGATGGTATACTCTGGGTCCCCAGACCCCCCTAATAATACATGCCCTGCCAAAGATAGTCCCAAAACTGTATGCATTATGTGATATGCAAAAAGATATATTTTTCCCCATCTCCCGATGCAGGACCACACCAAATCCTATGCATTATAAGATAGTTCAATTGCACTTGCCTGTGAATATGATAGATCACCAACACAGGCTATAGGTTTTGTGAAATGAGAAAGGAGCATTTGACTTGGAGATTTAGACCACTCCGAGATCCCTGAAATAGCCCTCATACACATGCAAAAGTTTACATCTCAACCGCTGCGTCCACCGCGTGACATCACTTTCTTTTCGGCCACTGACAGAAATACCTCGAGGTTCACTCACATGTGCTCCCGACACAAAGTTTGTCTCCCTTAATCACCTTGGACCTGTTCTCGTCACCTTTTCCAAGTTCAAATATCAGCCATCTCGGAGCTGGGGGTCTTCAACTTATGGACTCTATCTAAGCTTGGCCTCCATCTTACACATGTCCAGTAAATGGTCCAAGTAACTGATCAATTCTATGCAACTGTGCAGTCTTCGTATTCGTACTTTACATAGACACACACATACGTTTGGAACCATCCCCTCATACAATAAAATAAGACGAATAAATATAGACATGCCCCAAAGCTACAGTCACCCACCAAAGGGCAGAAGAAATAACAACGTGCACAACCCACAACCCACATGGACGACCAAAGCTCATCCAGTCACATGCAACTAATCTTCCCCAGCCCAACGCTTCCCATCACGACCCCTGACATTCCCCATCAGACACACAATCCCTCCAAGCCGCATACATAAGCACTACAAAACACTGTCCCTCCGGGCTCCCAGCCGTCCACGGCACCGTGTCCAGCCACCCCAGCGGATTAACAGCCGGCGTGACCGTCCCATTACCCGTCACATGTGGGTTCCCCTCGCTATCATCCCCCCCCAGCGTCGCACGCACCCCATCAGCCCACTCAATATATTCCCAACCAAACACACGCGGACGCAGCACAGCCATCCGATAGATAACAGAAGCGATCAACGACGTCCCGCTGATCTCCCCGAACCCATGGCCGTCTCCCCACACGTCGTCCAGGTAGTTCCGCGCCAGTCCCTCCATGGTAGGGGGGGATCCAACAACGCCGTCGACGATTTCCCTGATCCATGCCGTCAGGTCGTCTATGGCTTCCCCGCGCCACGCAGCATCCCGCGAGATGGGCGCTTTCATGATCGTCGCCAGGACGCGGGCCATCCCGCCAGCTGCCCAACCATTCCCGGTGCTCCACAGCCCGACGTCCTGGTTCTGCGGACCGATGATGTGCATCCACACGCCATCGTAAGGCTCGCCGGAAATATTGGCAGCTTGCAGTACTTCGCGATAATACCTACATTGCTTATATGATTCATGGAGAAGCGATACGTTCCCTGTATCAGCAGCGTAGTACGCAATGAAAGGAGGCGCCATGTATATGAAGTCAGCCCTGCGAGCAGCGTCATCGACCATCAAAGAAAGCCATAAACCACCGACCACAGCTCAGGGACGTCCACTCTTTGGCTAATGGCGCCATTCTCCCACCTCGGCGCCTGCTCGAGTATATACTCCATCTCTTCCCGAGCGCCATCCGCATAAGCCGCATCAGTCTTACCAATCAGCCAAGCGAACACACCCAAGCTCGCGGGGTCGCCAACTGCGCCGTCCCCATCGCTTAGTCCGTTAGCGCCTGGGCCCAGCACAATTTTGTCTTTCGCATACGAGAGAGCCTTGATAGACGAAGGCTCGTACGTCTGCGCGGGTAATGGGGATACGCCATAGACCGATATCTCTGGGTTGTAGAGCTCGAGGAGCGCTTCCGAGGCCGTGCCGAATTCCCAGGAATGCGAAGGGAGCGACTCTGCCAGCGCTGTAACCGAAACGATGTCAAAGCCTGGGGAGAGCGCAAAGGCGTTCATGCAGGATGCCATCGGCAGGATCTGTGGTGATCACATATAATAGGTGACAATCGTTAAGAGTGCAAGGTAAACCAAGACTGACTGTCAGAACAAGCAACCCAACTTGAACCATTAAATATAAAAGAATGTGCATTCGTGCAAGTGTAGGAGGAAAGAACCGCCGAGCCTTGGACGAGAGCCAGCTGCCACTTTTCAACCTGACAAAAACAAAAAAGAAGCAGGGTCGGCTGACCCTTGAGCGAATGCTTGCTTTATAGGGGGGATGGTATCTTAAAGCGAGAAATCAAAACGAAAGTCATCATTCAATATGTAGGCGGGATATCCTGCAATATTCATGATCAGAGATAAAAAGTTACCAACCTACCCACTGCTGTTGTAGCACCGCACGCCCTACGCCAAAGAGCATTGCCATTGAAAGCTCGAAAAAAAAATAGACTAGGATGCGGAGACGAACGATCAAGATTGATTTTCCAAGTTCCGTGGAAGAAATGTCATACCGTAGCGAAAAGAAGCGCTGCCGCGCCAAAATGAAATACGACAGGAAAGGGTTCGTGGGCGAACAAATCTTGAGTTGCCTCAGAGGCCAGTGCATACAAGTAATAATAGGAATGAAACGTGACCCACCACTATCATTACGCGGCACAGTATCACTTGAGAACGCCACTATCTCTGATTAGTAATCAGCATCAGATACCACGTAGTGCAGTGTGTCTTCAAACTCGCAGACCTTAGGTCTCACGGAGCCGGAGAATATGGCATAGTATCGTATTTCGTTTCTAGATAATGCGTCCACGGTCGGGCCAGAGAGCAGAGAGAGATGACCATGGAGGACACTATTCGAAATCCCGTGGCTCGCTGCCTGGCTTGCATTTGCGACCTTCAACAGATATAGACACAAGGAAAGGTATTCCGTCGCTGACCTTGGACGTACGATGTTCCTAAGAGGACTATTTGTCGGTTCCGTCAACCCTGGGTTGCCAGATAGATAAAAAAACAACTCACTCCCTTACAATCATCTTGTCCTGGGCATCAAATCCCAAAGACGCCCAGTCCAAAATTGAGATTAGTGCTGGCGCCCAGTATCAGATTCAAAACGGTGGAACTGTAAACAAGATTTTTCCTTGTTCGGTGAGGAAGCCTTTGATATTATTCTTCTTTCTGATGAGTAGAGGAAGATTGATGAAAATCTTCACTGACGGCGAAGCACAGGACTGCACGGCAACGCGTCGAAACAGCCACGAATTCGTTGCTAGCGCATTGCAATGCCACCGTTGCAGATTTCGTCCTCGGAGACACGAAAGCCCTAAGGATGGCATCTAGTTGCGAGTATAAAAATGAACTGCGCGTGCTTCTTCTTCATCCACAGCCAAGACGTTTGATTGCAGGAGTGTCCGGTGCAAACGAGGATATGACGGCGGAAATGAATTCATTTGTTGAAGCGACATGATGGGACCTTCTTCTTCGGCATCTCGTGTCATGCTCAGACATCGTGAGGAGGCACGGCGCTGCTGCGGCGACGGGAGTCTGAAGGTAGGCAACTGGATGCGCGTGCATTCAAGGTGGCGAAACTCGAGGGTGATCGCTGGTGGTACCGCCGAGGATAACCTGTCGCTTTTGATATCAGGATGCCGACGCGTAGCATTGAGGATCCTCGCACCGGCTTGCGGGCTACCTGGGCTAGCATGTTACATGTCTTCTAACGCCTCATTAGCCATCGCGAATCTCCAATGCCATACCGCTTGTACATTGGGAAATATTTCTCAAACTTACTATTCGTTGAAGAGACTATTGGTTTCATGAGAAGAACCAACAGGGGTGATTGATGCATACACCTGGATGCTATTAAATATCCGATGCTTTATGGTCCCGCCGTTGCTGTACGGCGAAATTCAGTAAGCGACAAATATCCACGAAAGAAAACAAGGTATGCTCACCTTGAGTAACAATGCTTCATCACGCAGTCTTTTCCCTTCTCCAAACTGCCTAGCATCCAATCCACCCAAGTCTTGTTCAAAGCGGTCCTGACCGGAATCCAGATGAAAGACGAAAAACAATGTTCAACCCCATGGTGAAAAATAGAGAAGAGGTGCCGTTAGGGAACATTGACTTGAAGCAGTGACGAGGTCTCATACCAAGGCCATGGTAGAGCGGAAGAAGAGTGGGGATTTGATCGAAATTCAGTTCCCGAAGCGCGTGCACGTGATCGTATTCCTTTTTCGACTTGTCGTTGCCCCCCCCCCCCTTGGCTGTCAATATTTGCCACAAAATACGGCGCTTTCCCCACGATATATCTTTGCGCTGTATACTGACATTGCTAGGCCATTCGTCGGAGAGTCCAAGGGGAGAGCATTTCTACGCGAAGAAAGGTTGAGACTGATACCGACGGTGCACTGATAAGCAGATGCTCTCAGTAAAACAGTACTGCGCGGTAATTGACACTCCTGGGCATGACCAAGACATTAGCCACGCACAGTTGACTACCGATGGATCGGTACATACCCAGCGCAGCTATTAGCTGCCTGTACGTCTTTACTAGAAATTTTTTCTCTTCGGCCGAGTGTAAATCGAATCGCATCATTCGGTTTTTGATTCAAATTGATACCACTTTCAAGATCATCCACGAGATGTCGTCAAATGATTCTCGTTTTGTTTTCCCGCTTTCTACAGCTCAGGGTTCATGATACTATCACGCTACTGTAGTATTTTCTGCCATCTTCCCATTGCTCCGCCAGGGACGGCAACAATGATCCGGGTTCTAGGTCCGAATCCGTATAAGCCGCGTAGGGTTTAGCGCGAATTCTGCCTTAGACGCTGAATCGAACTACAGTTCTTTTGGGGGCCACGGGCTCCAGACGAGATGTGCATCGTTATATCCGTCGCGTTGACTTTGTTGGGTACGTAAGATTGTAAACCATTCTGACTTGACTGACGCATGAGAAGCGTTCCGCTGCAATTCCGGCGCAAGGTAGTGGTAGTTGTGCTCCCTGATACATAAACGGCACCACAGCATTGTATGTCATAGTAGGCATGCTACGCTCTCTGTTATGTACGTCGTGGTCTGATGTGCCCTAGCGCTTCGTATACGGCATTAAGGATGATTGAAACTGTCCATCACTGCCAAGAAGTCGATCCTTTTGTATTGATTAATCCTCGCTGTCCGTCAGTGGTTCGACCGGATTCTATACAATGGCTTAACCCATTCGGGTTTCCATTCTGTCCGCAGCCAACCCTACCACTGCCGCTTTTCGTTCTTTTCATAGCAACCAGCGATAGTACGGCCGGCTCTTACTTGGGTCGTCATTTTTACCAATCGTTCGAAAATCGAGGCGTTGACCAACTGATGCGATTGAGCTCTGTCCACACGGTCCGGGTCAAGAATTTCATCTTCCAGAACATCTGCGTCACACCTGCATCCTCAGATGACCACACAGATGGAGATGGTGAGTTCAGGCTCACATATATGGGGGAGATGCGTGACCAGCCACGACCTCTGCTATACATTGTAAAGCCTCTTTACCAGCACGTTGTGAGTGTTCTCGTTGTCGTTACCGTGCCTCTCCTTGGAGTGAAAACAATCATTATTGTCAGAGACATCCCGCCAGGTGGCGTGAAATACTAGAAACCAGACTCGACGAAGCACATGGTTACTGACGTCGTGTGCAAATAATAAATAATAGGTGCTACAGCCGCTTCGGAACATGGCGGAAAATGTTTGAAGTTCTAGATATAGAAGTTCGATGATGCTTCTACATTCCCCGCATTGATATTTGATCGCCCTGACAGGATAACGAGACCAGTATAAAAGCCAAGGATGCCCAGCGTCTTCCGCGTCCAAGCCACTCTCGCTTTCCCTTTCTTCCGCCGGGAACGATGTCTGACCCAGAAAAAGGATCTGAAGAGCGGCACGATCACGCCAATCTCGTCAGCAATGTCAATGCGCGGTGAACATCTATTTATGTTAATATTCCCCGCACCCGTATCGCTTACAACTTCCCCGTGGGCCCTAGGATCCAAAATCCCCTCCATGGTATTCCCCAGGACAAGCTTCTCGCGCAAGTAGAAGAGTTCACCAAGGAGAAAGGTTTCGACGAATACACGGAGACATTCAAAAAGGGCGCATTGCTCGCTCAGAATCCTGGTGCATTCGAGACGCTGCCGTTGTTGGATGAGGCGGACCGAGAGACAATCAGGAGAGAAAAGACACGTACGTTACCTCTCTGACCTTCTTTGCAGGATATCTTTACTGACATCTTCGACAGACAAATGGTCTCAGCCAAAAGACCTGTACATGACCGTTATCATCTGCTCCCTCGCTGCCGCGGTGCAGGGATGGGATCAGACCGGTTCGAACGGTGCTAACTTGTCTTTCCCGACCGAGTTTGGTATCCCTACAGACAACAGTGCTCCGAATAGAGAACACAATGAATGGATCGTTGGGACTATTAACGCCGGGTACGTAATCATCGTCGTCCGTCAATTCAGTCCGCTTACACGGTCAACTCGCAGCCCCTACATCGCATGCGCCCTCCTCGGATGTTGGCTCACTGACCCACTGAACAACTACCTTGGTCGTCGAGGGACGATTTTCTTTTGTGGGATCTTCTGTACGGCAGCTGTCATTGGTTCTGGTTTCACCCAGACATGGCCTCAGCTCTTCGTGTGTACCCTTGCCTTGCCGTACAGAAACTCGATCTGACTTGATAATGATCAGATATGCCGGCTGCTTCTTGGTCTCGGGATGGGTCCCAAGGCTAGCACGACCCCCGTCTTCGCCGCAGAGAATACACCAGCCGCAATTCGGGGAGGGTTAGTGATGAGTTGGCAGATGTGGACCGCTTTTGGTATCTTCCTTGGTTTCTGTGCCAATCTTATCCTCTACCGCGTTGGGAATATTGCCTGGCGGCTGCAGCTCGGCAGCGCTTTCCTACCGGCGGTGCCGTTGGTTATCGGAATATATTTCTGTCCTGGTGCGTTTGACTCTACCAAGCACGAAGGAGGGAATCTAACTTGCATGGGGGTGTAGAGTCTCCGCGGTGGTATATGAAGAAAGGTCGATACGCTGATGCATTCAAGTCCTTCAAACGGCTAAGGAACACCGAACTGCAAGCCGCCAGAGACTTGTACTATGTCCACCGACAGCTCATTGAGGAATACGAGGTCATCAAAGGAAGCACGTATATATCCCGTGTCATCGAGTTGTTCACCATTCCTCGGTGAGTTGTATGATGCCGCATACAACAATGCATTCCATCTCACGGTAGTCGTCCAGTGTTCGCCGCGCGACACTCGCAAGCTGGGTGGTCATGATCGCTCAGCAAATGTGCGGTATCAATATCATCGCGTTCTATTCCTCGACGGTGTTCGTCCGAGCAGGGTACTCCACCGGCCAGGCGATGTGGGCTAGCTTCGGCTTCGGATTGGTCAACTGGCTGTTCGCATTCCCTGCTGTTTGGGTCAGTAAAACACGGCATTCAATTCAATACATACGTGCTAATGATATCAGACCATTGATACCTTCGGTCGACGAAACCTCCTGTTGTTCACATTCCCAAACATGGCCTGGACTCTGTTTGCTGCAGGGCTTTGCTTCTTGATCCCGGATGGAAGCTCTGCAAAAGTACCGCTGATCGCGCTGTTTATCTTCATCTTTGCTGGTAAGCCGACATCAAGGGGCCCACTATTGATTTACTATTTTCATCACTGTTCTTGTAGCGTTCTATTCGCCCGGAGAAGGACCCGTACCATTCACATATTCAGCTGAGGTGTTCCCGCTTACGCATCGTGAGATGGGCATGTCGTGGGCTGTTGCTACTTGTCTGGGCTGGGCGGCCGTCCTATCCATCACGTTCCCGCGTATGCTTACGGCGCTAACAGAAGTAGGATGTGAGTTGTTGCTCGTTTCTTGGGCCAAATCGTTAAATGACATGACGGCTACCTATAGCATTCGGGTTCTATGCAGGGCTTAATGTGCTCGCGCTGATAATGATCTTCTTCCTGCTGCCGGAAACCAAACAAAGAACACTTGAGGAACTCGACTATGTGTTCGCTGTGCCGACGTGGAAGCACGTCGCCTATCAGGGAGGCACCTTCCTACCGTACTGGATCAAGAAGTGGGTACTTGGACAGCGAAACGCCGTCCTGGAGCCGCTCTACCACTTGGAAGAGGTGGAAAGTATTACTGTGTTTGAGAAAGGTGTGGGCCATTAAGATCTTAATGTTAGCTATGATGTGGATCACGATTTCTTGATTTTTCTTGTAACGTTTACTGCATGTATCAATGGCATGAAATGCTTTTTTACGACTAAATCTACAAGGTATATCAAAATTTAATGGGGGCTCACCCGAGGATAAGGTTGAAGATTAAATACTCGTTGATTGCATCAATGCCGTCGTTCTCGAGGAGTCTTTAACTTCCTGTGGGATAGATTCGATTGCATTCGCCCAAATTTGTGGCCGACTGCTGAAGGATATAGGTGCAGATGTTCCTATGCTTTACTTGTCGGATGTGTTTTCAATGAAGGACATGGTTATCAGTGTCTGCCACACATTTGGCAGTGTACTAACATAGGGACATGTTGGGATTTTGCTGGAAAGTTCTAGAAAGGGCAATCTGGCATCATGCCGAGAGTTGATGAGTAAGCTCGAGAGAAAGAGAAAGTTGTAGTAAATTCTAGATATAAGCCCGGAGAGTATAAATACAAGCTCTGTAGGAGCTGTAGAATAAGAAGTTCATTCTTTCTGGCTTTACCAGCCTGGAGTCTACCCTGTGCAACACTGAGGATTTCCAACAGGACATACTAATCCTATTTATTTTAGATGTAGAGGGACTAAATATACGATGCTGTGGATGCTACATGGTAAGGAACCCGGATGGGTGAGAATATTGTTCCAGATTGGCGAGGTGGCATTTAAGTTCGTTTGGTACGACACCTGTCTAATGTTGGGTAACATAATAATACACACCGTGGTCCTCAAAAGCGCATCATCAGTCAACGAGTTAAGCAGTGCTGGAGGATTGGAATGAGTCATAATATCTAGGTACGGTGCCTAGTACTCGCGTGAAAGAAAGCTCGAGATCACCTTTCATTGTGATTTTGTGTATGCAGCGGCAGCCGGGATGTTTCCATGGCAGTGTCTGACGGTTACCATTGAAGGATGCCGCTTCTTTGCCATGTACTCATGCTGCCGTCGCGACGACAATCCTGGAGGTTGGTAGAAATATCTTACACCAGGTGTGCATGGTTCATAACAGCAGCTCGGCGAGAGCCTTAATTGCTTCTTTCCAACTCTAATTCATTCTTAGTCTCCAAGAAGCCTGATCCCATCCGTCGTCAATAACTATAACGGCGGACCTCCATTACGACAAGCTGCGTAGAACATGTCCATAGAACACTGGAGACGTCAACTATATTGAGACGTACCCCAGTTCTTTTTACCACCTACTCTCATGTTGTTCTATCTACAGTGCTGGATGCTCTTTTCGTTCCTTTTCCCTACCACCATGGCATTCATCGTTCGCTTGGAAAATAAGTAAGTGGGACGCGAACTTGGTTTCGGCTGTGAACTAATAATACCGTGATTTGCAGCTGTGGCTCTGGAAGTGTGAGGCTTTTCTGGTATACCTGCAGGCAGACAAGACTGATAAAGACAGCCATTGATAATTCATGAAGATGGTACCAGGGCCGAGGGGGTGCACTCGTACCATAGTGCAGAGATCCTATCTGTGTGAGTCGCCTTCTATTCCTGGATCGCATTTCCTGACTCGCTCCAGGTTCTTAGATCAAGGTACGGGTACTTCCTACCTTCCGAGTTCCATGCTCACGAAATCAGGATCCTGCGGTCCTCAAGGCGAAAACTGCCCCACAGTTCGCGTCGACGAGTCTGAATTCCATTGCGGGACCATTGGCAATTTGGGCACGTCCTCCATCCCCATAAGCTTGCTGTACGTCACCTTTTTGCATAATCGGTAGCGTGCACTGATTCTTACCAGGTACTCGTGTACTTCTGGTGAGTAGTTGGACTCGTTTTTCTCCAAAGCCTAACTCACAGACTCTGTCCTAGTCCCTGGCCATCTCACAATAACCTTCTGCCCTCCCATCCCAGCATTTGTCGACCAGCACGTTCCTCCGAGGTTCCGACGGCTCGTCTCACGTCAGATTGCCGAAATGTTGTGGACCCCAATCATCATTGCGTCCATCCTTGGGTCACTCGCAGTCTTTCTTCTCCTTATAATGCTCTACATGCGGTGGAGCAGAGTTCCTGAGATGCCAATGATGATTGGCATTCATGTCCATCCTCCACTGACTCCAGAACTTCCTCGTCATCCACCTCGCTCATATGTTTCAATGCCAAGGAGTCAACTTTTCCATGACATGAAGCTTTTCCCTGCTGTACATTCTGAGCCAATGTCAGTTTGGGAAGACTAAAATTGTTGTATGATTATGTTTGAAAAATTTGAATTCATTTTGGTGATAGTTATGAGATTTAATGATGACGCTAGACTGGGGAAAAATAATTAAGTAAAATAACAATTTGATTAAGGTCAGAATATACATCTGAAGACAGTGTCAGGAATCTTTGTAAATCTGGTAACATGCTGGCAAGTGATGTAACAAAGGTGCCACAGCAACCCTAGAGAAAGACCAATGGACATGAAGGGGACATGCTCTGCCAGCCCATGTCTAAGAATTAATTCTGCCTTTTAGACTGATTGTAGAACTGTCAGCTAAGAGCCTCATGCTACTGGCAAGAAGGTGTTTTTGACTGAAGAAGTCATGGCCATTATTGATTCTTCAGGATCTTTTCATCATCAACAGATCCTGTTAGAAGTCAACTAAATAACATTGAAGCCTCTTCAGCCAAGCAGTGACCTTGGTCATAAGGTCTAACTTGATTAGAGCCCTGGATGTCAGCATTGAATTCAGAGTCAAGAATGAATGGAGTAGCATCATCTCTCACAAAGTCTAATCCATGAATTTTATTAATGGTTGACTACATCCTGTTCTGTTTCTGTTTGATATGAAAAATACAAGAGGAGAATTTGAGATAGCCAGAAGCCACAGCAATAAGCCACTTGGATATGGAGAAAAACAGACCACAATAGTGCAGGTCTCCTATCTGTTCTTGCTGAATTGCATTGTCATCATAGGCTCTGCAAAGAACTGTCCATATAGGTTCTGAAAGAGGCTACCAATCCATGAAAGCTATATGTTCATCAGCTTCTAGGAAACATCAGCAATAGTGGTGCATAGCTGATATTGCTAGTTGGCACTCAATTTTGCCCACATCAAATTAGCCAGTGCATCTTTAATCTGAATAATATTGGTGAATTATGAGACTTTAAGAAGGTATAACATTAATATATTGCATAGCCATCCAAGCACCACCAACTGCATTATTTGTATCATCCTCATAAAAGTGTTATGATTTTTTTATCTTTTCCTTACTTTAACCCCTATTTATGCTTAGTCAGGGCATCTATACCAGTGCTTAGGACTGTGGAACCAGCTTAGTCATCACAACAAGCTGCATTTATCATTGTCTTTTGATGTGACAACAGTCTTCAACAATACACAACAACCTTTTTGTAGACAGTAATAATGCTCAAGGATAAAGGGCACAAAGATAAGAACTAGTATAATAGGCAGTAGTATATTTCTCTCAATGACTGACTTGTATATAAATAGGACAGCTCTCACTGATATAACCCCAGCTTCAAGCTAAAGTTTATTCACATTACTTTATTCTTGAGCCACTTGTCTTTGGCCTTGAAAGTACACCAATCAATAGAGCACAACAAGTGGACTTAGGTGTGACTGTATGAATATAATACAGCACCTATTTATCACATGTTTTAATTACATGCAACCTAGGTCTAACAAAAAGAACATGCAAAGTATATGGATTGTGATACAAGCCTTGAGAAATTGCAATATCATAACCTGCAAAGATTAGAAGAATCAAATGAGAAAATATAATTAAATTATATCTCTGAGAGAAGCTTTATGTGGATGCTTATACCATATCCAATGCTGTTCAGAAGGCACAAATAGCTCACTCACACTAAAATACAACCATGGTCATGCATGTTTGTGAGATATATCTGAAAATAATTACACTGGCAGAAAAAGAGAGTTATATATTAGTACTTACTATATTATATGTGCCTGTAATCTCACTGAGTAAGAAGTAACATTGACAGCTATAAGCACATATACCTTCAACAAACTTCTGCAGAAACTCACATTTGTCTTGAAGACCAGATTCAAGCTAAGTCTTTAGAATATCTTTGTTGATATCTGTTATTTATGCTGGTAATATCTGTAATAATAAAATTTCTGCATGTTTCTATGCCTGAGCAAGTGCAGAGATCAACACTTACAATTAGTAATAGTATATTTAGTGACAGGCTCAGAGGTATATAAGTAGTGTAGATAATACTATGTATCTCTAGTCTTGAACTATCCTTTATTCTACCACTTTACCTTGAGTCAACTATTTGTATTGATCTTGGAACATAACATCTATAAACACACTAAGTGGACTTAAGTGTGATTGTACAAATATGATACAGTGCTTATTTACTATGTGTTATTGATCATGTGTCACTCAGACCTAACAATTAGTTCAAGACTTCTATTTCTCTTTTCTTACACCTATCATGATGACACATTTTCTCTATGTTCAAGCATATAAAATTGCAAAAATTGAGAATACATGGATGGCATTTCAGTCCAGTAAGCATGTAATGGAGAATAAGATAAGAGCACACAGAAACCTAGCTATTATAAGGCTAAACTGAAGTAACAATGAGCAGAGTGCATGGCCTAGTAGCAGACTAATACCAGAGGGGTTAGACTGCATGTGAGGTTTCAGCACTTGGCTCTAAACATGCCAATACCATTACAAGGGGGCATGCTAAAGATAAAAAGAATGTGATCAAAATATGATCAGCAATCCTGATCACATTGATCAAGGATGCACAGCCATTGATGTACTGATAGGATATGCCTTAGAACAGAGAACTGAGATCCAAAGAAAGGTATCTGAATAACTGGGTGCTGAATGGAGAAATAAAATGATGACAATAGAGGAATAGATAGAGAAATACTACTCTCAGAGATAAATAGCTCATGTACTGCTCAGAGACTCACATGCATACTTACAGTGCTTTAGCATGCTTAACACAGCAAAAGACTCTGTATCATACTGAGGTATGATACATACTATATTGGATGAATTAATTGATGCATGTCAGACTAGAAGCAGTGCATTTTGTGAGCTGAAGAGAATGTTGAGACACTGAAAAAGAGAACATAACTATTGTGGCTGACTCCAGACATGGGAGATAACTCTGAGGGTCTGGAACAGTTTACCACTGTCAGAGATGTGTCACTGGAGAAATAAGAAAGCAAGCAGACCTGGCTAGGCCTGCTAGCTGAGGTCTGCTAGTAAGGAAACATTGTGCAGTCCTGGTCCAGAAGAGAATAAGCATAGCAACTGCAATATGCATATGAATAATACCTGCAGGATCTGGCACAGAGTCCCATGCTTTGAAGATACCATAGTAGGATTGTATTAGTAAGTACCACAGTAGAGTATTTAAATACAATATTGTATGAGTAGAATACAAGTTTCTGACCCTCACAGTTATAGTGTATTGAGCACAGAAAGTCTTGCACTCTAGCTCTGAATTTGTGTTTGTAACTTCAGGTGAGAGAATAAATGCATTATTGACTATTATTGAGAGAGCTTTGAGAACTAAGTGAAGCATTGAAGCTTGTAAAGGATTTGAGCCCAGTTTGATAAGAGGTTTTAGATCATGCTCTAATCTGAGAATAAGAGAGTGGTGTCTGCAGGGCATCATCTTGATTTTTTGAGGTATTTGTGATGCACAGCACTATAGGTAGCAGAGGTTCAAACCCTTTGGTCTGTTGGACAGTGTTTTATTGTGTTTTGTGTCTCTGGATCATATAGGTTCAAATTCTGTGGGTCTATGATTGGTTTGAAAACTTGTAAACAGAGATCTGTGCTCTTTGACTCTTGTAAACATGTTTGTGATTAGTTTCTGCTTAGAGCACAAAGCTTTGAGTCATGTATTGTGTGTGTTAAGGATTTTGAGGTAATCTGAGCTGTGCTTAGGATATTTTGAGGGTTTTGTGAGAGTGTTTTGACATATTGTATTAAGCTACAGTACTCTTTGCCTTGAGGTCCAACAACATCTGTTGCCATCTCTTGTTTTGATAAAATGAAAAGCCTTGAGACTTAGAGAGATCTAAGACCATTGTATGTATACTATTACTGTTTATGCACTGTAGATTCATTAAAGAAGACAATTATATTTGTTGGTTACTACTTTTATTGCATTATAATCCCTCCATAAACTAAGAGTTTTGTGTGTGTGTTAGTGTGAGTGTGGTCAGTGGATAGCATTCTGCTATATCCATTTTCACCTTGTGCATGCTCAGATCCTCTTCAATGAGCAAAGAAAACTGAATGCCTGCTATCAACATTACTACTACTGATCTTACTGACAAATTTTTTAAGCTACTAGCTTCTATCATTGAAATGCTCTTAGGCTTACTTGCAATCATCACACTTTGCTATAGACATCAATCTATTTCAGCTTGAGTAGTCAGGCACTACCAATCCTTCTAATAGATCTAACAGATTCTTAAAAATGTCACCCCTGACTCCTCTCTCTATAACATCTCTCCCTCTGCCCAAGCCTCCTTTCAGCCCATGACCAGAACCATATCTGAGGCTGAGTCTAGTTGCATGAATGAAAGAGGCCCTCAAGAAGAAGAAAAACCCTGATAACCAACCTACCTCTCTTGAGCAGCTAGTAGACACAATAAGCATACAAACACAGGGTTCCAGAACCTCTGGGTCCTGCCACATCTCTCTCCAGTCTCAGATCATGAGGATGAAGATCTCTCTAATGACTTCTTTGAGAAGTCACTATTGTTAAACCTATCCACTATATCTCATGAGCCTGGCATTGGAGACCATGCCTGGAACTCCATTAATGAGGTTGCAAGACTTGCAGAAGAAGGTTCCAGGTATGTCACCCCTTGAGAAAGTCCTAGCTCTTCAGCCCCCAGTCTGCTTACCTCAACCCTCAGCAACCTCTATGACTCAAGAATCCTCAATCAGCTGGCAGACAAGAAAGAGAGTGTGTTTGATCATCAGCAGCAGAAGGCAGATAAAGAATATTATAATACACAGTCCAGACAGCAGACTTGGGAAGAGCAAGCAGCAGAGTGATGTCTCACTCCACCAGAATATTATGGACTATACAAAGATAGAGAGAGAGATCTCTATTATAAAGGAGAAGGAGGTCTGATCCCAGGAATCTCTGCCAATGAAGCCCACCAAATTAGAGTGGCTGATCCATCACCCTTCAGCTCCATTAGCAACAAGCCTC